CGGAGGACAAGCAAGTCCTAGGTTACAAACTGAACTCTCCAATGCAAGAACAAGATGCATTTCTTCCTTTAGGAGGTGCTATTGTCACAAGAAAAGAAAAAAGGTTTCAGTTTTGTTTTTGCATGTGGGTGGGTATTCTGTTTGTAATAACTGTTTGGATACACTATATTTTTAATATGCTACTTGTGATAATTTCATGCCAAGTAAAAATGTCCATAGTCATATTTTACGTTCATAAAGTAACAGAATGATTTTTAATCTAGAAAAAACAAAAGAAATGCCAATGTAGCAGTTTTTCAATTTTTCTGAACATTTCCGTTTTTTTCACAAAAAAAAAACCGGTTTTTTTCCCGAGCTTCAAAATTTCTGCAAATTTTACATCTCTAGCACTGGACTCTGGCTATCCCCTTCCCCAAACCCTGTCCCTTGGTTGCACCCACAAATCTCCAGCAATTTAAGAACATAAAGGAAGCCCTGTTGGATCAGGCCAGTGGCCCCTCCAGTCCAGCACTCTGTCACACAGTGGCCAAAACCCAGGGGCCATCAGGAGGTCCAGCAGTGGGGCCAGAACTCTAGAAGCCCTCCCACTGCGCCCCCCCCCAGCACCAAGAAGACAGAGCATCACTGCCCCAGATAGACATAAGGACATCAGAGAAGCCCTGTTGCATCAGGCCAGTGGCCCCTCCAGTCCAACACTCTGTGTCACACAGTGGCTAAAACCCAGGGGCCACCAGGAGGTCCACCAGCGGGGCCAGAACTCCGACATTCTGTTGGAGCCAGTTTGGTGTAGTGGTTAGGGGCGTGGACTCTAATCTGAGAGAACCGGGAGGAGGAGGCAGCCTCCACAGCTCCGCAAGTTTTCCAACAAACTTTCTCTTCTTTTGTGTTCTATTAGTCGATCGTCTTCCTTTTGCTTTTTTTTTTTAAGTTACATCAGATTCCCGATTCTTCCACATGCAGCTTGTTACCACGTGTGCTTTTAAATGTATTATTTATGCTGATGCTGTGTTTGTAAAATGTCTTTGCATGTGTGTAAGTGGAATATGGGAAATGCTGTGTCTTGGATTTGCTGGCTTTGCATCTTATGCTTGCACCTGGAAGGCTTGTGCTGCCTATGCTAATGGACCCGTGCATACCCACACCTTCCCAGCATGCCTTGGGATAGAGAAGACCCTCGCCATTAAGCTCAGCCTGGAGACTTGGAAAACAACAGGTCTCCCACCATTACAGATCTCCTGGAATAGCACGTAACCCCATCTATCTGGTTCTGCATCACAAGGATAACATCCTGTTATTGCCTTCTTGGATCAAGCCATCGATCTGCAAGTCAAAGGTTGCTATGGGAATACAACTTTGACACCTTGCCACATGGCTCCCCTTTGAAGTTAGGTTTAGAATTTGAATATCGCCCCACTCCCCTCTAGGTAAAGCATCACAAACTGTCAACCTATAGGTGTAGAGAAGGGGACAGATTTCAGGTGTAGATTGGCCTTATGCCAACCCCCAACACTAGGTTTTAAAAAGAGAAACACAGCCTTTGTTTCTTGTTAGGGTTAACCCATCCTTCCTGATACCCTCACCTTTGCAACTTAAGTATACTGCAGGTGATCCTATAGGAGTTCTCTGGAGTCGCGACCAGAGAGCCCACACGTGTTTTGGCTGGCCCATTCCGTGTGTTTATAGAGTCCCTAAAGTAGTACTTTTGCTCCCATTCTCTTGCTGAGAGAAGAATTCCTTCTCGCCTGGAATTCAGATAAGTATAAACGATACCCTTTTGTGTCTTACCCCATTGTTGGTTTAATTTGTTATTTTCATTACTATTTGTTCCTGTACCTACTGTAAACTAAAAGGAAACTTGAGTGAGTCTGTGAGTGTTTCTGTTTTTCGTGTGCTTGAGAAATATTCAGTAAAGGCAACATTTATTCATTAATCCTTAGTGTGTTATCTCAATTCCTGGGAAATAGGAGCATCCATTTCTGAATCTGACCTCTGTATACATGGGTAATTACTCACGCACGCCCACTGCCGTACATAAGGAACCATCTCTCTAGGAGGAGTTCCGGTATCAAGCTGCTGGTGTGACCTTGGGTCCGTCACAAGCAGAGTTCCCTCTAAGCTGAGTGAGTGTGAGCTAGCTCACAGTTTTTAAGCTTCCAGCTCACACGGTTTTGTCTCAGCTCAAGAAAGATGGCCCCAGAGCAAACAAATCGATGCTGCAGCCCAATGACTCACTCACAACTTTCATGCCAGTAGCTCGCAAAGTAGAATTTTTGCTCACAAGACTCCACAGCTTAGAGGGAACATTGGGTCACTCACAAGTTCTCTCGGAGCTGTTCTCTCAAGGGCAGTCCTCGCTCTCTCGGCCCCACCTGCCTCCCAGGGTGTCTGCTGTGGGGAGGGGGAAGGGAGGTTATCATCTGCTCTGAGACGATGAGTGAAGGGCGGGGTGTCAACCAGTGTTCCCTCTAAGCTGTGAAGTCTTGTGAGCAAAAATTCTTCTTTGTGAGCTGCTGGCATGAAAGTTGTGAGCAAGTCATTTGGCTGCAACATCGATTCATTTGCTCTGGGGCCATGTTTCTTGAGCTAAGACAAAAAGGTGTGAGCTGGAAGCTAAAAAACTGCGAGCTAGCTCACACTCACTCAGTTGAGAGGGAACTCTGGTGCCAACCAATGTTCCCTCTAAGCCATGGAGTCTTGTGAGCAAAAATTCTACTCTGTGAGCTACTGGCATTAAAGTTGTGTTTGAGCGATGTGGCTACTGCATAAATTAGTTTGCTCTTGTTCCCTCTAAGCTGTGCAGTCTTGTGAGCAAAAAATCTACTTTGTGAGCTACTGGCATTAAGGTTGTGAGTGAGCGATTTGCTGCGGCATCGTTTGCTCTGGAGGCCTCCTTCCCGAGCTAAGGCAAAAATGTGTGAGCTGGAGGCTAAACAACTGTGAGCTAGCTCACACTAACTCAGCTTAGAGGGAACACGGAGCCCTCCTTCCTGAGCCAAGACAAAAATGTGTGAGCGGGAGGCTAAGAAACTGTGAGCTAGCTCACACTCACTCAGCTTAGAGGGAACACTGCTCTGGAGCCCTCCTTCCTGAGCCAAGACAAAAATGTGTGAGCTAGAGGCTAAACAACTGTGAGCTAGCTCACACTCACTCAGCTTAGAGGGAACACTGCTCTGGAGCCATCCCTTCCTGAGCGAAGACAAAAATGTGTGAGCGGGAGGCTAAGAAACTGTGAGCCAGCTCACACTCACTCAGCTTAGAGGGAACACTGGTGTCAACCCAATCTCCTCTCCTCGGCCCGCTTCTCCTCCTCCTCCTCCTTCCCGCTAGGCCCCACCCGCCCGCTCCCCCCCGCGCGGCCTGTCCTACCTCGCAGGGCTGTCGTGAGCGATTTGCTGCGGCACAAATTAGTTTGCTCTGGAGCCCTCCTTCCCGAGCTAAGGCAAGAATGTGTGAGCGGGAGGCTAAACAACTGTGAGCTAGCTCACACTAACTCAGCTTAGAGGGAACACTGAGCCCTCCTTCCTGAGCCAAGACAAAAATGTGTGAGTGGGAGGCTAAGAAACTGTGAGCTAGCTCACACTCACTCAGCTTAGAGGGAACACTGCTCTGGAGCCCCATCCCTTCCTGAGCGAAGACAAAAATGTGTG